GATTTCAGTGGACAACTCTATGTCACGATTTTAGTGGACAATTTCCTATTTCTATGTCACAATTTCAGTGAACAACTCTATGTCATGATTTTCGTGGACAACTTATTGTCTACACATAACAATATATTCACAAGTTGTCCACTCGGTCGTGTCTTCTATCTACGAATACAACTACTTATCTCTCTTTGTCACGATTTTAGAGAAAGAGAAAGAGACGGTGGTTGTGGACCCGTCCCCACCGCTGTTTCCGTTGACAACTACCATCTCGTCCACTGTCTTCGTTTATGTCTATCATCTCGTCCACCGTTTTTGTGTCTGTCTACCATCCATTGTTGTTTTTGTCTCCATCCACTCACCTGAGTCTGTTTTTGTCCACCATCCAATGTTGTTTTCGTCTACAACCATCCTCTTTATTTGTAACCATCGTTTTTATTCTGATTTTTGTTCACTATCTACCATTGTTTCTTGTTCACCACCATTTACCGAAAAAGAGAGAAGCTTAACTTAATATGCTGAGAGAAGAAAAAATATTAAAAAAAAAATGATTAAAGTAGAGAAAAAGTAAGAGAGAGATTAATTTTTTGTCAGAAAAGGAAATAAAAAAGGAAAAAGGTTGGGAAAAAGAAATAGATAAAAGACATGTGATATGGGCAAAATCGTCTTTTCAGATAAGAGAAACAGTACAATTGTGGCAATTGGAGAAAGCTTTTAAGGGAAATGGCAGATTGTGAAAAAAAATTTTGGACAAATTTGGCATTTTTTGTAAAATTCCTTAAAATATATATAAAAAAAATGGGAAAACTGTCATTTAAATACCGAACTATCCGGTTTGAGCCAAAACAAATATCAACTTGTTAATGAGTCATAAAAATCATAAATTTGTGTTGACTSARCCAAATTAKGTATACAATTAGTCAAYTTTAAYAGTTYTTWAAAAAACGTTAACTCCGTTTATTGTAACTGTTAAGTCTCAAAACAACGTCGTTTTGAGATTATGAAAAATGGCCATTTAAATACCAAACTCTCCGTTTTGCGCTAAAACAAATACCAACTTCTTAATGAGTCATAAAATATACAAATTTATGTTGACTTTGCCAAATTAGGTATAATATTAGTCAACTATAGATCGGAGTCCAAATCCGGAGACATAGAAAGACGAGACCCTCCAAGATTGTAGCGTGAGTAACATAATCACTCTGTTTGGGATCGTTAGTTTCCTTTCACTTTACCTCAAAATACTCATGGGATGTTAGACATAATTTCGGATGCGACTAACAATTGCATAATTTATTATGTGTTTTTTATAATAACAAAGAAGGAGATAGCAAGATTTTTTATAAGAAAGAAAGGAGAATCACAATTGTCAGGATTAGGGGCCTAGTCTCCCGAAAGATCATGCTCGGGTATCGCTCTAATGCAGCTCGACCCTAAGGAGCAGGTTCACCTCCCACTCTACCCTATAAAATGATGAGAACTTCTCAGTAGTCTCAGAGGGGACAAGTCGATTGACTCAGGCCATAGGTCTCCATGAGAGTTCTCATACTAACTTGTCAGGTCTCCAGACTTAGGTTATCGCAATCTCGTGCCCTCCTAGATTTCCAGACTCATGCTACGGCCTTTAGGGATCTCGTGCCCTAACAAAGTTGTTGGACTCATGCTAAAACCTTGGAGGGTCTCGTCTCTCCATGTCTCTGGATCCCTGTTGACTAATATTATACCTATTTTGGCCAAGTCAACATAAGTTTTTGTGTATTTTATGACTCATTAAAAAGTTGGTATTTGTTTTGGCGCAAAACGGAGAGTTTGGTATTTAAATGGTCATTTTTCATAATCTCAAAACGACGTTGTTTTGAGACTTAACGGTTACAATAAACGGAGTTAATGTTTTAAAAAAAAAAATGTTAAAGTTGACTAATTATATACTTAATTTGGCCGAATTAACACAAATTCGTGATTTTTATGACTCATTAACAAGTTGGTATTTGTTTTGGCGTAAACCGGATAGTTCGGTATTTAAACGAAATTTTCCCAAAAAAAATACTCTAAACTATAATTGAACACGTGGAATTGTAGGTACCAGCAAATGCTCTTTAGATCACGATTCAACGCATTTAAATCGTTTTTTTTTTTCTCAAAATTTAATAGAAGATGAAGTAAAGGAAAATCTTGAAATGGAACTCGAGAGATAATCTTAAAATGGAACTTGAGAGAGAATCACTTAAAAGTAAATGTGATTTCTACCACTGAAAGGAAAAAGCTAGCCTTGAAATCCCAGAGAAATGTTACAATCAGTAGCTTCAAAAGGAGGAAGAAGAAGATAAAGAAGGTTTTTCTTATGCTGCAACAAGATCTGGTGTCTCGGCTTCAACAGATAGCAAAGTTGTGTGAACTTTGTCGACCCAACTGTCCAACTGATCTCTCAATGACTTGATCTGTGGAATCCCCAGTACTCTCGGTTGCGCCCATGACACGTAAACACTTCCATTCACTTGGTCTATAATCCCCTCGATCAGATGCACCTGCATCATTCATTTTCCACTTTAGATTCTACTACAGAATCATCATAAGCATACACATTCAATCTATGTCTAAGCCACACGAGTCAAGTATGTTCAGCTCGGGTTCTCTAAATCAACATTGGAAAGACATATGCAGATGCATACACCTAGAGACATGCATTACAAAAGCAGTCATGCATGTAGACATAATGCTTTCTATGTTGTTATTTAATCAAGCGACAAAATCACTATGTTGATCACTAACAGATTTTCCAAAATGGTATCTGCAAGTAACGAGAGAGAAAGATGCAAGAAGATACTGCTACTTACAGAAAGGCTCTTCATGAGAAGGTGCTCAACATCTTCAATGGAAAGTTTAGTACGCTCAGCAATGACACTCAAAGGAATGGTCCTATCTTCAGCGGGTCGGCTGAAGTATGGTGTAAGAGTAACTGGATTAGCACAAGAAATGGCTGTGAGATACTATTGCATAGGTAGAAAGTTACCTGAAGATGATCTCGATGAGGCAGAGGATGTTGATCTTTTCCAATAGTTTCCTCTCGTTCTCAACAAGTGCTGGCTGGGCAATCAAGGATGCCTGGTGCACGCGGCATAGTTCTTGATACTGAACTAAATCGCCATGGTTGAATGCCTGGAGAATGTGGTAAAGCCATTCCACATTTGTTCCAAGGAGACTTTTCAACTGTCATAACAGAAATAATACATGTAAGAGAGCCCCATATAATTTGAAGCCAAACTATAACATGAGTGTTAGAAGCTGTCTCCAAAGTGCACAAATGATTTGGTCAAGCCAGAGCAATGAAAACGAAACCTATTATATACACATATATTGAGGATGAAGGAGAACTTACAATGGGATGGGCTAACAGTTCCCCAAAGTTGTAGATGTTTTCTCCAAGTAGAGCTGAAAGTGACAGATCAAAAGCCAAATCCTGAAAGACACAGAAATGATCTAATATTAGCAATTTGATCGATGAATATAGGGAACCTACAGTAGTTAAGCACTGTTTTTCTCCAATTTCCTTTTCACCGATTTTTTTTATCCACTATCGCTAACAAGAACTTGGTAAACAAAAATTAGAACAAGATACGTAAAATTACGGGGACATACCAGCTTAAACGATTCTGAGAGTTCCTCCACAGACGTATATGCAAGATAAAGTAGAGCACTTTTGTAGAAATCAGAAAATTCTTGCCGGAACTTGTGGTACTGAGAAGACACCCAGTAGAAGTTGGCATAGACCGACGGATCAATGTCAGTCATACTATCAAGAGAACTCTTTCCATCATCCAAGATTTTCTTGCACTCCTTCTGATCACCTTGCTCAAGCTTGAATAAAGCCTTTTGTGTTTCAATATAAATGATTGGTTCAGTTATCCGAGGCTCTTTCGTAGCTCTAAGCTTTTCAATCACTCCTTCAAGATAGCTAACTGCAGCTTCTTTCTCAGGGTACTGCCGAGAGACTACCACAGCAAAATGCGCAAGCTTCAGAAGATTGATCTTCGTCTCAAAGTCAGTGATGAAATTGTGATAGAACTGAATTAAAGCATCACCAGCCTGAAATGAAATTTTTTACATTATAACAAGGAAACATAAACTTGGAACCAATCGAATTAACAAATATCGATCCACAAACTCTTTCAAGACATCGTTTAGAGACCAATCAATCACATAACTAGTAGAAGATAAAACCAAGCCAAAATCAGATTCAATAAGGCATTTAAACCTCTGAAAAAGAGGGTTTTAGATTTCTCTGAGCCAATAGATTCAAGTTAGGTCACGTAAGTGTGAGATATCATTCAAGTTCAACACCAACTTGAATACTCATGAATTCCAGCAAATCTAAAAACCCTAACTCTATCTCTAAAGATTTCTTCCAATACCCTATCTTGAAGAAAACAAAACCTATCACCGTCCAAACGGATCTCTGAATCCTGTTACTCGGAAGTAAAACCACAACTTCTACCAAATTTCTCGAGATCTATGAACCCTAAAATCCACAAGGAACACTACCAAACGAAAGCATTAGAATATATGGTAAACCAACAGTACGAAGGAGAAGGAGAAAATACCTGAAAGACAGCGAGAGCGATGAACTGTTCAAGCTTGAGGGTGAGTTGATGCCATAGCTTTTTCTGATACAGATCTGCAAGGGAATTGTACCATTCACCGAGCTCTGGGTGCGCATTTTTCAGAGATTCCAAGTATTGAAGAGCAGCCATGGCGGATTTCTTCTTCCTCGTCGAAGCAGACGAAGATGAAGGAAGAAACGAGTGTAGAGGAATTCGATCTTTATATTCAGAGCTGTCCGATAAAAAATCCTAAAAACCCTTCCCCTTCTATTCTGCTAGTCAGGACTCAGATTCATAAATCTAATTTTAAAGAAAACTATCGGGCTGAAATATAAGCTTAAAAGGCCCTTTATGTAAATACAATAATATACTTTAAAGGTTCAATTTGTAATTTAAGTAAAGTCACTCCAAATTATGGGTTATATAGCTATCATATGTAATATATTTAGTGAATTTTATAGAAATTGCTATTTTTTCCAAATTACTTGCAACCCATTGTTTTAATTTCTTTTAAAATATACCACATTTTTGTCTTTTAGTACAAGTAAAATGATATTTTTACCCCATATCATCTCTTCCACACATTCATTATCCACATTTTCTCTCTCTTTCTCTTTTTTTTTTTTCGAAAAACCAACTTTTTTTCTCTCTCTTTGAAGATGGAAGATGGTGGTGGCTGTTGATTGAAATGA